TTTTTTTTTTTTTTTTTTTTTTTTTTTTTTTTTTTTGTCAATTATTGATACTTAAGATTAAATTTTCCTTTTTATAAAAGCTATTTTTTATTTTTGTTAAACAAAAATTTTATTAGTATATATTGATGATATATGGATATTAAGTTAATATATAGTTATTTATAAAAATGTGTCTATAATGATATTTTTGTGTATTTCATTTCATTTATTTTAATAATGTTAAAATTAAAAAATTTTTTTTTTTCTTTTCTATAAGAATATAAAAATGATGTAATAATTAAAATAATAAGATAATAATGTAACTATAATTCATTATATTCTTATAATTTTAGTGTGACACCAAATGATGTAATTAATGTTAATATTTATAATTTTCTGCAAAATTTTGAAGTATCAATATTTTTCTTTTTTAAATTAAGAAGTTATAACATGATGAGTACTTGTTAAATTTTTATTTAAAATGAAAATACTTTCTTTTAATAAAAAAACTTACATTTTAATGGTTCTAATTATTAAAAAAAAAAAAAAAAAAAACAATATATTTATTTGTAGAATAATTATTCTTTGATTATATATATAAATATTATTTAGAAAAAAAAAAGAGAGAAATTTTAAGTTAATCTAATTTTTCAGTTAACACAATTTTATATAAGAAATTAAACATTTTATTTATTTTTTTTTTTTTTATTATTTCTTAATAAATAGATAACTAAATAAATAAAATTAATATTATTTTTAAATTAAAGAAACTTCATTAATTCATTGATAAAATTACTGGTTACTTGAGTATTTTTTTTTTTTTTTTTTGTATAGTACTTTTAAAAAATATTGTTACTTGAATTAATGCTATGTATTTAATTGAATTTTTTTTTTCTTTATTTTTAAAAAATAATTACATAATACTTTATATAAAATATATAGAAAAAAAAAAAAAAAAATTTAGTTTTTATATTTATTAGAATCCTTTTTGTAATTATTTTTTTGTTTTCGTATATCAAAGAAAAAAAGTAAATTTTAAAAAAAAAAATTTTATTACATGATGTCAAATCTGTGTAATGAAACTTGTTAAAAAATACCTCTGTATTTTTACGAAGTTGTTCACTCAAAAAAAAAAAAGAGTTGAAGATAAAATCATTCATTTACTTATTTAAATATTAAAAACAAAAATATATATTTTGTTTAAAAAAGATAAAAAAAAAAAAAAAAAAAAAANAAAAAAAAAAAAAAAAAAAAAAAAAAAAAAAAAAAATTGTTAAAAAAAAAAATATACAATTTTTTTTAATAAACTAAATAAATAATAATAAAAAATATAGTAAAGATATATAGAAAAAACTTAGATCATAGATTTATTATTTTAAAAAATATACATATTTATGTTTTTATATATATATATGAAGATAAATTTGCTTTTATGCATTTTTTTTTCTTTTCATATAAAATTTTTAAAAATTCTTTTTAAATAAATAAAAATAAGTTTATGATTATTAGGGTTTTCAATTTTAATAAATTAAATAAATTAGAAACTATAAATTATATATATCATTTGACGATGATAGTTTTAAATATTGCTTAATATCTTTTGAGATACACTAAGCTAATCTAGAAATAAAAAAACATGTAATTTTATTAAAATTATATAAAAACGTAAAAGAATAGCATTTTTTATAAAAAATAATAAAAATTAAAATTTTTTTCTTTTCTTTTTTTTTTTTTTTTTTTTTTTTTTTTTTGGGATTATTAATAAAAAAATTTTATTTGAAAATGATTAAAAAAAAAAAAAAAAAAATTTGAAAAAAATGTATGTTGTTGGAATATTTTAATATATATTTGCATATATATAATTTTTTATAATATTGTCTTGAATTATGTTTTTGATTTTATGTAAATATATATGCCTAGGTATATTTTATAAAGAGTAAAAAAGAATAAACTTTTATTTTTTTTATTTTTTTATTTTTTTTTTTTTAATATTATAAAGAAATATATATTTAATAATAGAAATAAATTAATATTATACATTACGTATTTAAATTATGCTTAGAATGTTTAATTTTGTATTATATATATTGTATATAAATTAATACAATTTTGAACTTTATATTTTTTTTAACTTAGTTTTGTAACTACATATATATTTATATATATATATATAAAAGAAAGAAAAAAATAATATTTTTATATATTCTTTATTTATATTTAATAGAAATATAATATTTACATAAATAATTTCATTCTTTTTAAATTTAATTATTTTTAAAAATGAATTTACAAGAAATTGATGAAAAAATAGTTTTAGAAGGAAATTATGTAAGAAATCCATTTTATTCAAATAACGTAAAAATTAAAACATCAAATATAGTAAACTCAATTGAAGGAATAGAAAATAAAGCTAATTTTTTATCATTAAGTGAAAATGTAATATCAAAAATAAGAAGTGATAGTGCAGAAATAATAAAAAAAGAAGGAGAAATTTTGGATGTTAATTCACGAAATGTTTGTTATGCTTTAAAGAATGGAAAATTTCGTTTAATAAATCAAAACGGAATAAATACAACAAGGATAAAATTGTTGTATGAAAATGAAGTTTTATATGTTTCATTCAACAAGGAAAATGGTAACTATTTATTGCTATTAGATAATAAAGGACATTTATATATCTATAAAATCAATGAATTTAAAGTTGAATTGGTATTATGTTTAAATTTTCCTTCATATGAGAAAAATCCCACTACTAATTTAAAAGAAATAAAAAATACATTAAAAAGTGATTTTCCAAAAAAAGCTAGTTGGCTACCTAAAAGTGATAAGTTTTTTATTACTGGTCATAACAATTGCCTATATATATGGAATATTTCTTTATTAACAAATGCAATGATTATGAATAAATTAAAAGATAAAATTGATGTAAATGATAAATTAATTTCAGTTTGTGCTATAACTTTATCATTTGAACAAATATTACATAAATATAATTACTTATTTAATGAAGATTTTAAAAGTACAGAAGATTTACATGATAAAATTATTTTAAATACATACAGCCTAAGTTTAAATGGAAAATACTTATTTGCACTTATTAAAAATTATTATTCAGTTATATGGAATGTTGAAAGAAATAACCATTTTATTAAATTTACTCTAGTTGGATTATGTTCATTAAAAAATGAATTATTAAAAATAAGAAAGCAATTAAATATAAATACTTATAATAATAATAATAATATAGAAATATCGTCTGTTCATATTCTAAATACTTTTTTTCAATCAAGTGAAGATGGCATTAATCAGAGCAATTATTACCTTCTTGTTTTTCATAGTTACTCTTGTATATCTGTATTCCCATTTAAAAATAATATTGATGTTAGTGAAAATTTTTGTGAAAGTATTGATATATTAAATGATTCTAGTATACAAAATATTTATGTTCAAAATGGAATAGATATTGAAAATATAGAGTTATTTGTCGACCCTTCCGAATTTTTTGTTTTTTTTAATCTTTCTTATAAAATTCCTAATAAAGATAAAGGAGATATAAATAAAAGTTTAATATTTGTTTTAGAAGTTTTTAATAAAAAAAGATTAGATTTTAATATTCATCCCAAATTTATAAATTTACCAAATAAAAGTATTTTACCTCTTTGTTCCATTAGATTACTAAAAATAAATGATTGCTTAAAATTTGCAAAAGTTTTAAATGTATCCGTTTCTTCTTCATCCTTAAATATTATTAATTTATTTTTGTTTGCTATCATTTTTAATTCCTCTAAAAAAAGTGTAAGTGTTCAATCATTTTCTGCACCAATTCCTTTGCTTATGGGGGATGTATGCAACAACAAAGAAGCATCTTTTCCCAATAATGATAATATTTGTGATAATATAGATAAGGGTTTAAAAAATTGCGATATTAAAAATATTTATGAAAATTTTTATGATAATCTGAATAATAAATATGACTTAGAGAACTCAACAAATATTCATAAAAGAGAAGAAACAGATCAAAACATACTAAATAATTCTAATAACAAAGAATTTTTAAATATATTAAAAAATAAAAAAAATAAAGATACAGAATTGGTAAAAATGTATGATGATATGATTCAAAAAGGAAATTTGTTAGAGAATATTTCATATGTACCTATTACAAGTGAAGAAAATATTATCCTCAATGATTTTAAACGGAATGAATATATAAATGATGATAATATTAATAAAAGTAATAATAATACAATAAATAGAAATCCTCATATTTTACAAGAATTGATAAATAATGAAGAAAATAATGTAGACATGAGAGAAAAATTAAAAGTATTATTAAATAATAGAGAAGATATTTTAAACAAGAATAATAACTCAATTAATTATATTGAAAATAAAGAAATATCTAGAATTTTGAGTGGAGTAAACAATGATGGAATTGAAGTATTGAAAAAAATAGAAAATAAGGATGTAAAATATTTTAATGATATAAATGATAAGGAAGAATCCTCTAGAAATGCAAATAATGCTCTGTGTGATATAATTTTAAATAATAAAAAAAAAGAAAGCAAAGAAGAAATTAATAGTAGAAATGATATGCCTGAAAACAACGATCTAGAACAATTTTTAAAATATTCTCTTAATGAAATAAAAAAAAATTATTCTTCAGTAGATGAACAAATAGTTAGAAAAAACGATGATATTAACATAACACATTTAAATAAAAATGAATTTTCTGAAAATGTACCTCCAAAAAAAATGAATATAAATTTATTTTATAACAATAATAAAGTAGTTAATCATGAAAATATAGAAAATTTTAAAAATGAAAAAGAAAAAGAAGAAAATTCTAAAATTCCTTTTAGTGAAACGAAACAAATTGTTGATTTAATTTTTTCTGATAATGCAGAACAAAAGACAATAAATGAAAATGAAAACGATATAAAAAAAAATATGGATTACAATAGTAATATTGATATAATTATGTCAAATCATAAAGATGCTTTAAAGAAGTTTATGGAATTTGAAGAGGATAATGAAGAAGAAAGTGAACATCAAGAGGAAAAAAAAGCATATGTAAGTGAATATTTAGAAAAAAAAAGAGAATTACAAAAAGATGATGAATATAAAGAATATGAAATTGAAGAAGAAGAAGAAGGAGAAGGAGAAGAAGGAGAAGGAGAAGAAGAAGAAGAATATGAAGTGAAAAAAGAAGATGAAAAAGAGGGAGTAAATAACAATAATAATGAAGAAAAAGTCAAGGATAATAAAAAGCTTAATGTAATTTTTGAGGATAAAAATGATTGGAAAAATATTGAAAAGAAAAAATACAATAATTTAAAAGATGATGAAGGAGAAAGAGATAAGGAGGAAGAAGAAAAATCAAACTACAAAAATAATGAAATATTTGAACAAAAGGAAAATAACTTGAATTCTTTTTTACATCAATTAGGATTTTTTAGGAATAATAAATCAAATGAATGTAATAATAATTTAGATGAAAAAAATAAAAATGAATTTTATAAGGATAATTCTATTTTTATTAATGAATTAAAAGTTAATGAAAGTAACATAGAGGAGGAATCAGTAAATCAGAATGATGAAATATACAAGGAAAATAAAAAAAGCAAAAATAACTTAAACAATGTAGAAATAAATACTAGTACTAACAAAGAAGATGATATTATTGTGACTAATCCTATTAATGATACGAATAATACTATTAATATATATAGAAGAAAAAAGCAAGATAATAAAAGAAAGGATATTATAGATGAAAAATTTGAAGGTGAGAAAATATCAATAGATATTCCAGATGATTTAATGAAAAAAATGTGTGAAGAGATATATAAAAACATTAGTGTAGGAATATCTCAAATTATATGTGAAGAATTAAAAGATAAAAATATTTTAAGTGGGATCAGTTCAACTATTTGTAACAAGATTAATAAAGATATAAATGAAGAAAATAAATATGCAGATGACAAGATATATAAGCAAATGGGAAGTATCATTACTAACTATAATAAAAAAATAAATGAGATGAAAGAAGAAATAATGAATTTAAAAAATTATAATAAAAATATAAATGTGAAATTAATATCTATGAACAATAATTTAAGTAAAATATATGAAGCCATTAAAAATAAGTCATACTTAAAAAATCAGAAAGATAATACATATGAAATAAAATTAGAAAGAATTTTAAATGAGATAAATGGCTTCAAAAAATATATGAATACTATGATGAGTAAATTTTCGGAAAATTTAGTAAATACGTGTGAAGATATGAAGAATTATTTTAGTAAAACAATAAGAGGAAATAATGATAATTTAAAAAGAATTATTCTTCAAGATTTGAATAATAAAATAGAGGAAATGAAACATATCGATTTAAAAAATAATGCATTTAATAAAGAGTTAGTTGAATTTTTTAACAATGGTCATCAAAGTGCATTAAAAAAAATAATGCCATCTGTTATATCATCAGAAATTCAGATTCAATTTGCCAAAAGCGTTGTACCAGGTATGAGAGAGGCATATAATACAGGATTTCAATCCATTAAAGAATCACTTAATGCATTATTATTAGAAAATAAAAATTGGTTGAGTAAAGAATTATATGGGATAGAAAAAGTAATATACGAAAAATCAAAAAAAAATAATGAAGATATTTTATTATGTGTAAATAATAAAATGGAAGAACTAGAAAAAGAAATAAAAATATATACTTACAACATTAATCAACAAATTAATTATTTACATGATGACATTAATGTATTGAGTAAATCCCCATTGCAATTAAATGATCAGAATAAAAGCATTGATGGTAATAATTTAGATAACGAAAGTAGTAATAATAATGCTATTAAAAAAAATAATAGTAATAGTTCAATCGTTGAATTAAAAAAAAATAATGATTATAATTCTCATCAAGAAAATGATCCATCTGATATTATAATAAAAGGAAGAATTAACCATTTGTTAAGTGAACATGAATATGATCAGGCTTTTACATTAGCATTATCAATAGATATTGAAAAAAATACTAATGCATATTGGATACTTCAATTATGTTATAGATTTCATTCAAATCTTTTATTAGATGATAATTTACCAATTAGCCAACCTGCATTATTAGGCATAAGTAAAATTTTGTGTGAATCATTAACGAAATCTTCTGAATTATCTTTGGAGGAAGCTGATTTTCGTATTAAATGGATTCGTGAATGTTTGTTACAATTAGATGTGAATCATTCTGATTTAATTAAAACAAATGCTTTTATGTTTATTCAGAATATGCTTAATCATATTTGTAGTTTTAGTTATGATATAGAAAATAAAATTCGCAAAGCAAATGAAAATACTACAAACTTTTATAAAAATGTAGATTTAAAAAATAATTTACTTTTAAGTACGGATTCAATAACCAATGAAAATGTAAATCATATTTTGTGTTTGAATGAAGTGGAATCATTGAATAATAAAGATCTTCATTTAATTTCAAAACAAAATAATCATTATGATAAAAATATGCTTCTTATATTACAAGATAAGTTAATTCAAATTAGGAAATTATTAAAAAGGTATATTTTTTAATTTTTGTTTTTTTTCTCATTTTATTTAATTTTTTTCATTATATTTTATTCTTTTATTATACTGATTTTTTTTTTTTCATTTTTTTTATTATATTTTATTCTTTTATTATACTGATTTATTTTGTTCAATTTTTTCATTATATTTTATTCTTTTATAATACTGATTTATTTCATTATTTTTTTCATGTATTATTTATTTTATAGGATCATTAAAAACTTAAGTAAGAAAGATAATGTGTAACAAAGTATTTTGGTATCTCTTTTTAATATGTGAGACAAGAATTACAAATTAATTTAATGGAAACAAAGGAACATTGAGAATAACAACAAAAAAAAAAAAAAAAAAAAAAAAAAAAAATTATATAAAATCATAAAATGTTTTCAATAATTTTCATATAAATATTTATTTATTTTTTTTTTTTTATTGTTTTTAAAATTTTAACCTAAATTATATTTATAAATAATTAAAATTTTATATATATATATATATATGATTTAAATTTATATAAACATTCTCATTTATAATTAACGTTCACCTAATAATTTACACACATTTAATTAAAAATTATTTGATTTTTACAAATTTAATTATTTTTTTTTATTTATTTATCTTTTTTTTTTTTTTTTTTTCTATTATTCTTTTAATTACAAATGTAAAATAAAATATATTAAAAAAAAATTCAAGCTTATAGTTGGTGTATAAAATGAGATAACTTATAATTTATAATATTTGTGTGTTATATTTTATTTTTAGTTCCCCTTTTTTACTAGAAATAAACATTAAGATTAAACATTATTAGAATAGAACAATATTAGAATAATATAATATTAAAGTTAAATAATTATAAAAGAACTATATTAATATGAATATATTAATATTTCTATTAGAAGACAACGAATCAAGTAATTATGAATGATACATCAAATCTATTAAAAAAGATGGAAATATAAGAAAAAGAGAAGAAATATAAATAATGGATAACAATGATTTCTAGTTTCCTTATATGTACTATTTTTATTGTATAATTTTCTTTTTTATTTTTTTATTTTTTAAAAAATTTTTTGTTCTTATGTTTTTTTTTTTTTTTTTTATCGTTTATGTGTTATTGCAATAATAGCGCCTATAGTATTTTTCTTATATGTAACAAAATATATATATATATATATATTTTTTTTTTTTTTGTTAATTTTGTTAAAAAGAACTTTTTTTTTCCACAAAAATTTATATTGGAATATGTAAATATCAAATCAAATATTTTAAATGATTTTTGTAGAATCTAATTTATGCTTAAAAACATTTTTTTTTTTAAAACTTTCCTTAAAGTGTGCTTTATATTTTTTTATTAACATATGATATTAATAAATAAAAACTCGAATAAAATTAAGAAATTTTAATAGATTAATTTCATTTTGATCCTAAACTTATGAAGATTTTGTAAAATAAAATAATAAAGAATTTTTTTAATAAATCATATTGACATATTTATTTACCATTTATATACATCTTTTTTTTTTTTTTTTTTTTTTTAATATAAAAAAAGAATACTTTAAATTTGTTTTTCTTGTAAAATTATAGTTTTAAATGAAGGAATTCATAATTTAATAGAACATTAATGCATTTTATGTATTTATATTGATTAAAAATATTTAAATGTTAATAGATAAAAAAAAAAAAAAATTTTCTAATTATTCTATATATAGCACATTTTTATATATTTTTTATTTTATGTAATTATTTTATACTTGAAATTTATTTGAATTAAGTAATTTTTTATATTAATATATTTTACATAATTTTTTTTATAAAAGTGTAAAAGTTTAATAATTTTTTAATTCATATATATCAATTTCCTTTTTATTTTATTTTTTCAATTATATATTTTATTTATTTTTTTTTTACTCTTTTACTCTTTTTTTTTTTTTTTTTTTTTTTTTTTTTTAATAATTAGCTTATTTTATTTTAAATTATGCTACACAAAGTGAATAAAGTAAAATATAACAAAATTTGTGTAATTTTTATAAATTTTATGAATTTTACATTTTGTTAGACGTATAAAAAATGAACAAAAGAACATTATCAGATGACCAAAATGATAATGAGAAAAATAAAACGGGAGTTAAAAGATATTTGATGAGTAGTGATGATCATTATGAAAAACAAAAATTAAATTATGAAAAGAACTACCATTCGAAATATAATTCTAATTCCTTCAATGAAACAAAAGAGAATGAGAATATTAATAATATGATTAATAATAACACTGGTAATAATAATAATAATAATAATAATAATAATAATGTCGATGATAACAGTAACACTAATCATAATAATAATAACACTAATAATAGTAATATGAATACTTCTACTAACAATAATAATAGTAATAATAATATTAATACTTCTATTAACAATAATATTAATAATAGCAATAGTAATAATAATAGTAGTAATAGTAACAGCAATGATAATAATAATGATATTAACAACAATAATAATTCATCTTCTAATAAATATTATTCTAATGATTGTAAAAAAAGAAAAGGGAGATATTCTATGCCATTTTTAAAAAAGGAAAAAAACAATGTCAATACTATTTTGATATTAAAGAATGTACCAAAGGATGCAGATGAAGAAGATATAAAATCTTTTATGCGCCCATTTATAAAAAACAAAATACCAGAAATAAATTTTTATGATGATGAAATAATTGTTAAATTATATGATGATGAATTAAATGAAAATATGTACAATTATTTTAATGAACATCCAACTCAGATAAAAGGATCTTTTGTAAAAGTAAAATTATCAAAAATAAGTGATGATAATAAAGAAAATTTAGATACATATGAAAATAGCAGTAATAAAAATAATAATTCTAAAGAAAAATTAGAAAAGAAAAATTCTAAACACAATAAAAATGAATGCTCAAAAGTTATATTAGTATCAGTAATAAATTTACATTATCCTGTTGATATAGAATTAATATATTATCTATTTAGTAAATGTGGAATAGTAGAAAAAATTATTACATTTTCAAGAAATCCAGTTATATATCAAGCTTTGGTACAATTTAAAAATATAGAAACAGCTAAGGAAGCTATTAAAACTTTACATAATAGAAATATATATGATGGATGTAATACAATTCAAATTCAATATTCCTTTTTAAAAGAATTAGTGGTTAAATCTAACAATTCCAGTTCATGGGATTACACTACGTCTAGTACAAGTAAAAATAAAAATTTTTCTAATTTTCAAAATTCCCATGGTGTTTTACCAACTCCAACAAGTAAAAAAAAAAAAATTATTTTATAAATATAAAATAAAAAATAATAAAATCAAATAAAATAGGAAGAAAAATATTTTCTTCATTTATAAAAATTCTAATTTTTTATTTTCTTTTAATAAGGAAAACATAAAGATTCAGAGTTATATCACTTAATAGAAAGAAAATTTAAATTAGTAGACTTTGAAACGAAAAATCCATCAAAAACACCTGTTTTAATATGTTATAACATACCAAAAGAATATACGGATGTTAATAAGGTATATATATATATATATATGTATGTTTTTTTTATATAGCATTTTTTAATATGAACATGTTCAGTTTTTAATTTTTAATTTTTTTTTTTTTTTTTTTTTTTTTTTTTTTTGATAAATAGCTGTTTAATTTATTTAGCGTTTATGGTTTTGTTTCAAGAATTAAAATATTAAGAGAAAAACCAGATTCTGCTCTTATTCAATATTCTAATTATTTATATTCCTCATTAGCTCAAGAATGTTTACAACATGCTAAAATCTGCGATCAAACTATAGAATTGCATTTTTCAAAAATACATGACATAAGAATTTCATCTCAGCAAAAAAAAAATGAATCCTATAAAGCCAAATCTTTTAATAATTACGATCAAAGATATTTAGTTCGATATAAAGATATAATTAAACATTATATATTTACATAAAAATTATTTAACACTTATATACTTTTCTTTGTTATTTTACAGGCGGCAGATCAAGTAAAATATATAAAAGGAGCATGTAGACCGACAAAAACACTATTTATATCTAATGTAAATGAAGAAGTAAATGAAGAATGCATAGTAAATTTATTTAATAAATATGGAGAAATTAATAAGTTAAAATTTCAGCCATTCAAAGAAGGAAAGAAGCATTTAATGATTACTGTAGAAATGAATTCAGAAGATATGGTAAGGAAAATGGAAATATAAATTATAAAATAAAATTAAAAATAGTAAAACTGATTATATATATAATTTTCCTTATAGGCAACAAGAGCTTTAATGGATTTTCATAATTATTACTTAAAAGATCGTTCAATAAAAGTATCTTATACAAAAACTAGATTAGTTTAAAAAAAAAAAGATGGAAACTAAATTGAATGTTTCAGAATTAGCTATATTTTTCACATAAATACAATATCATATTGTTATTATTTAATTTTTTTAAAATAAAAGAGTTTTTAAATAGTATCATAATATATTTAAAGTTGATAAATTTGTGTATAAATATTCTAAACTTTGTATTATCGAATATAATTTTTAATTTTTTTTTTTTTTATATATTTTTTTTTTTTTCTTTATCATATATTTCATTTTTTTTTTTTTTTTTTTTCATTTATTATTTTATTACTCTTCTAATTTTCTTATGAACTATTTTTTTTTCTATAGATATATTTTTACTTTTAAATATAATTATTTTTTTTTTTTAAATTTTATTTGTATAATTTAGATTTTAAATAAATAATAATATTTTGAAAATAAAAAAAGGAAATAATAAATAAAATAAATTACAAGAATTTCGTAGTTGAAGGAATAATTTTTTTTTTTTTTTTTTTTTGAGCTTTTTGGGACTCTAGATAATTGTCTAAAGTTATTTATGTGTGCATATATTAGGTCAAGCTGTTTTAATTAAATATTTCTTATATAATTTAGATAAATTTTTTTATTTCTCCCAATAAAATTTTTCCTTTTTTCTCTGAATTCTTATATCTTCTAAATCAATTATTTTATTTGTTTTGTGTTGTTTTTGTACATCAAATATATACTTGTATTGTTTTTTAAATTTGCTACATTGTTTTTCTTTTGGGAATAGTGTATTTGTTTTCTTACTTTTTTTTTTTTTTTGTAAAATGAACTTAGATATTTATGATAATGAAAAATGTTTATCATTGAACGGAATAAAGTAAATTAAAAAGAAAAAAAAAAGAATAAAAAGTCTATTATAAATTAATATTAATTTATTATGAAAATGTTCTTTTTAGTAAAATGGTTGACGATGTTTACAATGATAATCTAAATTTTTTATTAAAGGTATCATATAAATAAAAATTATAACGCGTTTATGATATTATTAAAATTTTGTTTGTTCGATTCTACACTTTAAAGAAAAATAAGAATGAATTAGAAAAGAGAGAAATTGACCAATTTAGTTTTAAAATTGAAGCTCTATTAATATCATTAGAAGAGGAAACAAAAATATTACACAAAGAAAAGGATGAAATAAAAAAAATCTTCCAAAATATAGGTTAAAAAAATTCTTAAAAATTGTTCTTCTCTTAACATATAATAAATTATTTTCTTAACAGCTATACAATTAAAAAATGTAAAAAAATCAATTAAGAAGGCTGAGCAGTATATGGGGAAAAATGTTAATTTTAAATAATGAAAAATATATAATTTTATTTTTTTATATCACTATTTATAAAACTGTAAATATATTTTCTTTTTACATATTTTTAGTTAAATGAAGGAATAATAGAAAATTCCTATAAAATCTTTGAAGATATTAAAAAAGATATTGATAATTTGTAAAAATATATAAAAATTTATATTTATCATTTTTTTTATTGTTTTTATTTGTATAATTTTTTTTTTTTTTTTTTTTTTTTTTTTTATAATTTTT